ATTACTGGCCTGATTTATAAGACTGATCAGCCTAGTTTTGCTGAAGTTGACTGCTAAACATGGTGATCGCATTTTACTGCTTTGATGCATTCTATGGGCTCTCTAACATGATAAGTGATAATTCAGTCACCTTTTGTAAAAATCTCACCACCTTTACTTGATTGAGAACAGCCCATATGAAAGAAAGATGTGGGTGAATTCCTCCTACGTAATTAAAAAAGCTGAATAGAAGCCAAGATAATAGAAGCTGACTTAAAAACAAGTGATTTAATAACAACAGGAAGTTGCTGTCATGCTGCCTTTATTGGTTATTGATTTAGATCTTGGCTTTTCCTGCTTTCTCTTTCAAGGTAGGACTTGAAAAAGAAGGGCGAGTTTAAATGCTGAAAAGGAAAAGAACTTTTAAAAGTTTACCAAATTGAATCTTACGTCAATGAATCTTGTATATATTTCAAAATGATCACTCAGTCACTTTGAAAGTTTCATTGGATTTTTTATGTCATGTATCATTTTTTGCAGAAGATCACTTGACAAACTCCAAGATATTGGATGATAATAACTCTAAATTTAGACATTGATTGAGGGCGTTGTCAGATAATTAAGATTGTATATTTACTAGTGCATGATGAAATCTTCTTTAAGAAGAATGAACCAGAAAGAAATGTTTCAATCTTAGCAATTGGAATTTTGTGGCAAAAGACGTCATTTTGATTAGGAATGAATGACAACAGCCATGTTCTTAAATAATCTCTTTAAATTAGCCTCCTCTGAACTAAAACATGACATTTTCACCTCTGTTAAGGCTGCATGATGACATTCTAGTTTCCATTATTGCCTACAAAGATACCAATTCAATGCAAATCCATTAATTCCCTCGTGTAAAGATGGCAGTTTAGTCGCCAGTATTGCCGTCTTGATCCACATGCAGTCTCAATACTAATTATCTTCTTCACCTTGGTGATCAATAATTCTGCAAAATCCTGTCATTATATGGATATAACTGTCCCGTCTTGTTACATCAGATGACTAGCAGGCATGTGAGCGATAAACTGCGCGAGCTCTTCTGCTGTCATACATTGTTATGTTGAAGACCTTATTTACCGGTAGATATCCTTATTGGGAATAAATCTAGAATTTAGTTAAAGTCAGCTTTCAGTTGATTTAAATACAAATCTTTAGCCATATGAAGGGGGTGGGGTTTCAGGTACAACAAAATGGTCTGTTCTGAATCAAAACTGAATCAAAGCTTGTAGGCTCTGTGCAGTTTTTCACATTGGGTCATTAAGAGGGTACAAATTAGGGTTCACTTTTTTCAGTAAAGGGACCCCTCTATAATAAAATACTTGTTGCTAGTGAAGTAGCTTGAAGTTATATCTTTTATATCCGAGCAGATGCTTCTATATAATATTATATATTCTACACAAGGACTGCTACAGTGGCTTTTCTTGCACAGTTTTATTGATTAACCAGCAAAAGTGCATGGCGATTTGCTTTTTGTATTCCATGAAGGTTGAATATTTGCCCTTCGTAAGATTGCTGCCACATACCCCTCTGTGATAGTCAATTAATATAATGGTGTCAATTGGGAGGCTGACTCCCATTCATCTTGATCCTTTGTGAATATCCTCTTTCTGTTTTGTAGGTTTTCATTTCCTAGCTGCTGAGCGTGACTGTAGTGTGTGTTAAATTGTCATTTTGTATAGCCTTCTTGAGTATTGATGCTTTTTTTGTGGTCCAGAAAGATAATGGTGTCAGATTTGGCAAGAATTGCTTGCATTATAAGACAATAAAGGAAATGATCTGTGAAATTTTGCCTTTATTTAGCAATTCATTGACTAACAGCATGCTTCAAAATGTCATAAAAAGAATTCTATGAATGCATGCATTACGGCCTGATATATTTTACCATTTCATAACAGTGTGGTTAGACAAAGTGACAAAAATAGCGTATTTGTGCTTAGAAAAAATGCAAGGGATGTACCTGTTATTCAGGATTGAATTACATTTTGTCATTCTATAATTGTTCCTCTAGTAATTGAGTCATCTTCCAAAAGTAGCTTGCCTGCTTATACCTTTTGTTTTCCTTTAGAATAACTCATTTTTAAGATGGCATGAGTTAGGGGCTGTTCAGAATGAATGAAGTCATACTGGCTAGTCTGCACTTACTCATAGGGGACTCTCGCTGAATGCCATCAGATTAGCAGACCAACACGCCTCCTCCTAGTGTTGAGTAGATTACAAAAAAGCTGGTGATCATCAGAATATGTTGGAAACAAGAGAAGGCATGTTAGTCTGTTAATCAGATTACATTCAGTGAGAATCACTGTGAAGTTAGTGTGCATTAGCTAGTGCAACTGAACTCATTGTGAATGGCTCCTTATACACTGATCTGGTTTTTTGAAACCTCATCAACACTCAAGTGATTATATGCCCATTTATCTTTTACAGAATTCTTTCATTTCTGATTGCTCCTTCACTTCTTAAAGAACTTGTGGCCTTTTATCAAAGACTTCATCCATGTTACCACAGTAACCATTTTTGTACCATTCCAGTTTAGTTTCTACTAGCTATTGTATTATATAAAAAAATATTGGTCACTTAGAATAAATTACGAAGGATTTGGACCAGTTTAAACTGAGAACTCTGGCCTCAGACTATAAGCCCTGTAGGCCCGCCTTTTGATTTAGCAGTCAACAAGAACATTTATTTGAACTGTTGCTGGAACTGACATAGGCCAAAAATATATATTGATAAATTTCTTTGAGGCTCAGTTTCCCTTATCTAATTTTCTCACTCTCCCTGTTTCTAAGACCCCATTTCCAGAGATTAGATCGATCTACTTTAGATCGACCTAACTCCCTGGGGGTTCATGCTAAATAGCTGTCAGCCGAGCGGACACGAAAGTTAATTACCCCCTTACAGCTTGTAGTAGGCGGGACGGACATTTAAGCCGGATTATCTAACAGTAATCTAGTGAGACTCCCCGCGGGGATAGATCGATCTAAAAGCTCTGGGAATACAGCCTAAGTTTACTCTCATTCTCACATTTAAGTTGCCAAGTGAATGCTTTATGAAACGACCCCCTGTTCTCACAGTATAGTCTCCATGCTATAATGCAATATGCTTCATTAATGTAAAAGTAATGGGGAATCAGTATTCTCGTTAGACTTCCAGCGAAAAGAGAAATTATACTGCCCTGGATGGTATGTGCTCTGTTATTACATTTTCCCCGGGATTGAAGGCAATTTTAGATGCAGAATGGCATCTTGATTACCAGCTTATTAAGTTACTGTATGAGAGCATGCTCATCAGCATTGGCAAATTCGAGATGTTTTATGGAATAAGTGTTTGATGCGTGCTTTTCATTTTCATACCCTTTGTATTCCATGTGTGGTCTCAGGATCATTGGGTTTGGAGTGGAGTCGGTGTCGTAGTATTTCAAGTGCATCGGGCCAGGGAGGGTTTTTGAGAGGGAGGGGCTAAAAAAAAACAATGCACCCTCTCGTCCAGAAAAAAACCTGCTCTGCATCCAAATTTAATCTAGGTTCTGTGCTATTTCTGAAGTTGAGTCAGCTAAGTGGGTTAAAAAAAGTCCCACTTTTTCAGAAAAAGAAGCCCTTTGCTTGCTATACAGACCTGTGCCTTTTAAATCTGATTGTGAGCAGTGACAGGCATTCAAATTAAGTCTGATCTTGAGGTTTTAAGCCAGGAAAATGCCATGCAGTTTGGTCATCATTCCATCTAGGCCGTGATTTATGTAACAACGAAGTGAAAGAACCATTATTACCTCTGCCGGAGAGGTTTTGTTTTCACCTCACAATACACACCTCTCGCAGACACTGGACAGGCACGTAGCCAGGGGGTTTGGGCGGTTCGAAAGAACCACCTTTTTGCTGGGAAAAGGTCCACTTTGGGTAAAATTTGATCTATGTACTTGAGGATTTTATGGTAAAAGGTCCACTTTTTCAGAATACAAACCCCCCCTCTGAAATTGCTGGCTACGGGCCTGCTGGATGTGTGCTGGCATATATCGCTTGGGTGACAGTGTACTATCTCGGACATAATGTGACTCCATATCTATGACTTGCTGAATAATTGATTATTCTGTTCTGGTTTTTTTCTCTTTTTATCTCTAGAATCTAACGAGCAATCCTTCTTCATTATCTTTGATATCAACAGAGAGGCTGAATATCCGACTCGGTGTGATTATGAAGACAGGGGAGAAATTCACTGTATGCAGCTGCTAAATTAATATTTTTAGAATAATTAACTTTTTTTGTTTCTCATCCAATGTTTTAAGCCTATGTGTGGCTACAAATATACTGCCTTTATCCATTCCGCATGCACTTTTTATTTTCCCATTGGTACTGGCGTTATGAAGGATATTTTTCTCATTGTGATAACTCTTAGGTTTGATTGATGGGAGTGCTTCTTAATTTTTCCATTACTGAGTGTACTGAAATATCATCACAATATTCATAGTTAGGTGCTCTCGTGATTCCATCTAACCAGGAAATCCCATGTTCCTAAAGAATGGCTTTGATGTTACTGCAGATAGAATAGGGACTTACTCAGGACTACAAAGACTGAAGAAGTCACTTGTGGCTCTCAGATTTTGTTTAATAAGGGGGTGCATCAAGGCGCATGGCTGAAACAAGGAATCAGCAGACAATGATTTCACTCTAATACATAGGGAACAGAGATTAAAAGAATTGCTTGATTTGATCTTGTGTCTTTTTTTTTTTGGGGGGGGGGTAGAAGGAGGAAAGATTGGTATCTCAGAAACTCTGGGTAGCATATAGGGTATAGGCAAGTGCCTGTTGGGTTCCCAATATCCGCCATTGCACTATACGAAATAGCACTCCTGCACATACTAGCTAGTACACAGAATGCAAGCAGGGCAGTTTTGAAAGGAAATTGCTGACGCAGGGACACCCTGTAGTTTAGGAGTCTTATGCAAGGTTGAGAGACTTATGGCAATCCTGTTTAATTATCTCTGGTTAATATTGCAGGTAAAAACACAATACGGTAATATGCCAAACAATTCGACCAAGATTAATTAATTGTACCACCAGCGTTAGCGCTGGCGGTACACATGGTTTCGGTCCCGTCCGGATCGTTCCGCCGGCTCCGCCGGACNCCAGTTACGGGCGTGATGAATCAGTCAGCGAGGGCAAGTCTGCTTAATAGCAAAATTTGTATGTCTATAAGCACTATTATTGTCATCGGGGACAAAGGAAAAGACAGGTACGTCATGCTTCCAGATTAGATCTTCAATTAATTGTTTCTTCCTCATTGACGAGAGCTATTGAAAGGACAACAATTGACAAAGGGCCGAGGCATGCAGCATCTATTTCACTGGCTTGAAAATTTACCGAGTCTTGTCGACGATGTGGTCGAACAATCGGAACAAGAAAAAAATTCTGTCCCATGATTTTGACGTATGGACTAATTGTTTGAGTCCAGAAAAATTAATTTTATAAAATAATTTTTGTGGTCGGATTGACTGGGCCCGTCGAAATGCTTGGCACATTACCGTATAGTCATCTTTTTCAAGGGACATTCAAGATGATATAGTGTGTACTCAGTATATTGTAATCTGCCTTGTGACATTTGGCAAATTTTGTATATCACATTATCATGAGGTCAAAACCTACTAGATAATAATTGTTCTTTTGTCACAAACGTGTTTTTATGATACTCAGAGTTATGTGTCAGTGTCAGTCTGACAACTGCAGTCTGCATTGACATTTTTTATCTTTGGCAACACAAGCGACACCTAGTGGCATCACTGTAGACTAAAGATGTCTGAATGGCATTGAAATGTATATGTATGTATATGTGAGTATCATAAAATAATTTGTTTGTTACAAAAGGAGATTTTTGATCAATTGTTTGTCAAATTGCTGAACCTATCTCAACATATAAACAACTTATTGGCTATTTTATAAATCATGACTAATATATCTCATTTCCCTGTGCTGGTATAGAAACTGGGATATTTTATTATACATGATATTATCACAGATTTCAACAAATGCTTTGGGGAAATTTGGGTCATTCAGTAAAGCTGTCTTTGAATAAACATTAAAATGTGATGCATTTGAGAATAAAGTGTCCAATAGTTCTGCAGTTTGTGGCAAACATCTTGCTGAAATTCGTAACTTGATTGGTGGATTGGTATAAGTGACTCTGATAATAATCAAGTATTTCGACATCATTTTATTCAAGGAAATTAGGACTGGAATGGGCATATGGTGCTGTTGAAAATAATAATTTGTTCTACTGTATAGAACATTAAGTTGAGTTAAAACATGTGGATATAATTGAATTGTACTGGGGACTAATACTGACATGATACATGCATCAGGCTCTGCAGTTGCACATATTTCATTGTTATGGCTGGTTAACACATTGCCGAACATTACTGCCTTTGCTGTTGAATATTTTATACCTTTTTGTAACATTTTGGGTAGTCAATATGAACTTGGGACTCCATGGAGATTATGTGAAATCTATCACCACTTTGATAAAGTAATTAATGAAATATGGTATGTTAATACAATAAGGTTATTATGCCTTTGGGTTCCTAACCTACAGGAAAGTAAAGCCATTCTCTAAGGTCATGTTCACCATTCTGAAACCCATGAAAATTCCCAGATGACGGAAATGGATATTGCATCATTTTAGAAGGGAAAATGACTTCCATACGGTTCTATTGGGGAAAATTGTGGCTGAAATTTATGGCATTGCACTGAAGTTAACATTTAATCTTTGGCCCTGGCTCCGTGTTTTTTTTTTTTTCTTTACTGACATATTTGCCAATTTGAAATAGTGACTTGAACAAGTTTTCATATTTGCTTTAAATTAAGTCCTTTCCTGCATGAATTAAGAAACTGAATGTGTCATATAGTTTTTTAATTTATCCTCATTTTCATCTCCAATATTGCTATTCGGCAAACTGCAACATATATTTTGTCACACATGACAGATGACTCCAGCAATAATTTTTTCCTTTTGAAATGATTTTTGTTATCAAATCACACAGCTTTTTATATATGAATAAAGACCAGGTAACTTTGTTATTCTGTTTATTTCAGGGAGACGAGATATTGCAAGCCTTTCTGAAGCACAAATCGATCGTTTGACAAAGTATGTCACAGCCATCTTGGCAGCTACTGAAAAGGCAGAGGATACGAGTGAAAACAGCTATGACTTGTACAATAATGAAGAAGAGACCAAACAAATTACTTCTGCTCCACCTGGTATGTTTTATGACACTTTCTTACCATGCTTCTTGGGAGTTCACTGGGAATTTAAGCCATTTAATAACCTGTTTGGGGTAGGAACATTTAGCATAAAAAATTGCTTGTATGTAATATATCAGAATGGTTGTGCCACCACAGTATTGTGCACTGCTCATAGCAGGACAACTAACGCAATCTGGTGAAATGCTAAGCACTACTGTTGCATCACATTTTTAAATTTAGATCACTGCTTTTTCTGACGCATTTCATTTTACCTCATTATATGCAGGGCTCTGTTATGAGACAAATAAGAAAGCTGATTTGATTTGATTATTTTCATCATGCACTGTCTAAAATAAGATTCAGTGATTGCTATTTCCATTATTCAAAAGAGCTTTTGTTTGTGCATATACCTACAGGCAAATGTCTTTGTGACAAATTGTCTCATGGGTGAATAAAGCCAATAATTTCAAGAACAACTAACTCAAAGATCAATAAAACAGTTTACTGACATTTGTTGCAGATAAATTTTGTTCCAGATCAGAGCTGCTTTTATGAAAACCATTTAGCTCCGATTCGACTTACACCCCATTCCCATACCTTGATCGATCTAGTGGGATCGATCCATTTCCCAGGGAATTCTCCCTAAGTTGATTGACCCTCTAGCTGCTCGAATAGGATGTCATTCAGTTAATTTAATTGCAATCAGTGAGGACCCCTGCAGAGTTGGATCTATCTACCTTGTATGATAGTTTCATTGTGAAGGCAACTTAAAACTCCATTGTCCGCCTTAGTTATGGTGACTTAATTATCTGACTTCATAGTACAGGGTGATGGTAATAAATCTCAATTTGAAATAAAACTTTACTTTCATATTATTTCTGAAATTGTCTTGACTTGATGAACAGTCCTCATGTTATTACTTGCAGGAGTGACGGATGGACAAGCACCTGCAGCAGTTTTTTCCAAAGAGCAATTACCAAAACAGGCAAGAACCAACCCAGAAGCCATCTTCTCGGTCTCCATAAAGTCAGGAGTGAAGAAGAACTATCCAGGCTATGAAGCAAGGGGCGCCAATGTTGCAGGTGCAGAATCTAATATTTGTGACCATCTTGTTTTTAAAGGCTCAGTGAATGAGGAGGGGGAAATTTTTTCAATGAAATACATTGTAAAGTCACATTTATAATTTTGACTAACCGTGTGCCATAATTAAAATGGTTAAACCTCATTGTAAACAATATATAGAATTTGACATTGTATTTGGATGCAAATAGGGACTGAATTTCAGACAAAAAAAATTTTTTAAAAATTACCAGCATGAGAAAAAGGTAGCACGGGTATGCAGTCAGAATTTTTTAATGGAGCATTTTCTACCAGTAATTTGCCCCTATGTCTTACATTTACGGTCATTGGTGCATTCATCTGTTTTTATGATGTATGGCAATTACTCGATCTTTTCAATTCACAAAATATTCACAGTCTCCCCCCATTGAGAAGATCAAGTCGTTAAAAGGTAGAAAGATTAAAAAAAACACAGCAGTACTATTAAATATATAAATAAGATTGACACATAAAAAATAAACAACCAGTAGACAGACAGACAGAAACATAGGGAAGACTGACACATACATTGTAGCCAGATTAAAATAAGTTGGAAGAAGATATGAAGACAATTGAAGGCACAGTCTGTTGAGCCAGTGCAGGAAGACCAGAATCAAGAGAAAAAGACAGAGAGCAAAAGACAGAAGGAAAAGGCGAAAATAATCAAGAAATTGAAAAGGAACAAAAGACGGGAATGGTGGCAAGGTCAACTCCACTGTCTGTCAATTCCCGCTTCAATCTCATTACCATGTGATGGAATGGAAAGACAAAAAAGAGACATGATTACTCACTTTCTAGATTGAAAATAAATTGAAAATCAAGACATGAAAGCAATTTTGTTGATTTAGAAACCCCGGGGATGAGAAAAAGCAAAGAACTTTTTAAGCATACCTAACATGAAATAATTGCCTGGCCTTTTGGCTTAAAAGAATCTGCGAGGAATCCTGGTGTGTTTGGAAACTAGGGGAAGACTTATTATTAGAACAGTTATGAGATTTTAGAAAAATTGACCAAATTGATCATCTCCAAAGTGCCTTTTATAAAATGGGATGGTTACAAGAAGATCAAAAGAATACTCCTCCAAGAACTGTGTTGTTTTTTCGAAAATATTTCATTTGTTTCCTGGAAAAAATTTGCCGCTGGGCATATTCATTTGAGACTCTCTGTATAAATGTAACAAATTTTTATGTAAAGCAACAAAGAGTTACACTTAGATATTTGTTTATTCTTTTCATGTTCTATTTACTTAAAGTTATTAATGTTAGTTACCATTAGTGGTGATTTGTTATTAAAATGTAATATATGTCTTTTGGTAATATATGTCTTTTGGTTATATATTTTCGATCTGCCAGCCAAGACGATCAACAGTGCCGCCTCCAATTCTGAGACTGAATTGGCTGCCTCAAGTCAAGACACTGTCAAGAAGAATTATGTGAACATTACCTTCGAGAAAAGGTAAAGGACATACATGTATCTGTACCTTAATTATTTTATAAAATTCTTCTTTTTGTATAATTATGATTAATTAAAGGAATATGCCTTGATTATAAGGGTGTTGATTACAAAAAGTAGCGATTAGATCTAGCAACACAATAGCTGCATTACATGTGCACAGTATCTAAATAGAAGTATTACTTCTTTTTTTCAAATGATGTAATTTGTGTTTATTATTTTGATACGGATATCTTTATCATATCTGATCCCCAATACCTTTTAAGTGCCAAAAGTCACATTTACTGTCTGGCATGGTTGGATTATAAATGGAGGTCTGCCAAGCTGACTAATACTGTAGTATGAAATATTTTTGGGTCTTCCCGAGCCCCAAGAGATTTTACCAAGGTTACTTATAGTCTTCAGCTGTGAGAAGTCACTATTAAATTTAACTGCAGCATCACTGCTAATGCGGCACTTGAAATATGAATTATGGATAGATAATTGAAAAACTTTGATGTAATATCTGAAAGCTAATGGGTTTGAATAATGGGGCCAAAGCTGGGCCATCACCAGACAGACTTTGCAGTATATGCGCACATGCACACACACACACACACACACACTAACGAAAAAGTCTTATAGGATCCTATAAGATCCTATAGGAACCTATAGGAAATTGGGCCAATTTCCTATAGAATCCTATAGGATCTTATAGGATCCTATAGGACTTTTTCGTAAGGGCATGCATATGTGCACACACGCACATGGACATACTTCAGACTGATGATCTGTTTTGACTCTCATAGTCTAGAAATGGGCCATTTGTCTCTGTAAGGCCTAGCTGACTTTTGTAACAGGATACAAAATGGGCAAGAAATGCTATACTTTTGATCTCCATGTAATATAGATGTGCATGACAGCTGGTAAATTATAAGTGCATCCATCAAGGTGCAGTGGAAACTTCCTCTCATCTATTCTTTCCATTTCCTTTTTGGACAATCACTATATGAAAGGGAGGGGTGGTTTATACAAATGCATGAGCACATTCTGTGATTGCATGTTCTTATTGGTCTGATGTAGAAACGTGGCTGTGTCAACAACACCAGGGGAATTGGTTTCAAAACTTTTTGACCAGATTTTTAGTCTTTTTGAAGGCAAGCTAAATCTAAAATTAAATATTGGACCTGACCTCAAATAAATAAATAAATAAAAATAATAATAATAACTGGCTGTTAAATTGTCATCAACCAGTGGTAACTCTTATGCAGAGAACTGCTGCACATATATCCTCAACCAAAGTTCTAAAAATTTAACGACCAACAATTTTTTTTAATGTTCCTTTATGAAACTGATCTCAGAAGCTGCTGCTAGTTGACCTGTGTGAAAGCAAATTAAGATACAATGGTAATTGAAGGTCCTTCCCTAGAGCTTGACTTTTAGTTCACTTTTAGTTGGTGACTATGGGCTTAATAGGTGAATCCATTTGTCCATTAAAGGTCATTTTTCATGACAAAAGATGTTTGGTCAAACATAAAGATCTTAACTGGAAGGCAATGAGCAGAAACACCTAGCTAGAAAGCACCTGCCTAGATGTAAATGTATATGTATTCTATTTTCTTGGCTGATGATAGAATTTTCCCTCTTCTAATACTGAAATGACTTGTCTTTGAGCTGAGGACACTGGAACTGCATGTACCTCAACTCACCATCCAGTAGATTTAATAGACAAGATGTGTTGAGTGACCCTGAAAGATACAGTGTGATTTATAAAAGTGTTGCTGTTAGACAGATATTTCACTTCCCATCAGCGACATGTTACCCCCTGGGAAGAGATTCCAGCAGACAGTCGAAAGATTTATCAATCTATCCACCAGACTGTAGCCATGGCTCGACTTTATCTGGGGAAAGAGCCACCCCAGGGGATATAATTGCACATCAGAAACATGTGACTTTATGTGGAAAATATGTTATTTGTCATGAAAAAAAGAAAGGAAAATATTTTGGCATTCGTGTCTTCTTATAATTATTTATTTGTAATTTGTCTTATTTTCTTTTAAAGTGACAGAAGCATTTTATAGTTACACATGTATTTACCAGTAGATCAAGGGGAATTCGGAATTCAAAATATTTTTGTACAAACTTTATGAAGTTTGCTTACACATAGCAACCTCTGCCTGGATTTGCGATTTACTACGTAGCTGAGTTTACTTGTCGCGACTAACAATTTGGAAATAATTGAAGGTGGCCTAAGCTGTGGGCTAAGATTGAACTAATGAGTTTTATTCAACAGGGACAGTCCTTTTTTGCGTGGTAAATTTTATCATGAAACAATAGATATGTAACCATGGAGATGTCATATCACGGATAATGCTGTACAAATTGCTATGTTGATAAACCTTTCTGTTGCAACTCTGTGGCCATGTTTATAGAATATTAATTTTTGTTTTCAGGTAACTTGAGGTATATAAACATAATTTTTAAAGTTGCAAAATACTTCCTTAAATAAACTGGTGAAATGCTGAAGTCTAAGTGCTTGTTACCTAAAGTGGATCTTTCACTTACTCTCAGCTCAATTTCCTATGTATTACATGTATTATGATCTTTTCAAGGGGGGGGGGGGACTGAGAATTTTAAAGACACTGTACTTTTTAAGTCATAATTTCTGAAAATTAGAACATTCCTATTGAGTGGTAGCAACAAAATGAAAAAGCAGGCTACTCTATAGTTCTATTCTATAAAGAGATATATAAAAATATAATTTTAATGTGAATGAAATTATGTATCTGAAAATTTGATCATTTTTGCCCATTCAAAAGGTCTAGTTATTACCACAAATTTTTCCTTTTTTACTGCAACATTCATTTTCCCCAGATGGTTTTACATATCCTCCTTGCAAATTGAAAAAAAAAGGAATATATAACTTGCACGAATTTTATACAACATGAAAATTGTACTTGGAAAGGTAAATTTGCTACAGTTCGAGAAGGCATAATTGAATATATGGGTTGGAAATTAAATATAATGTTGGCATTTCAGCTGGCTTGATGTTTTTATACCCAGAATCCTTTAAGAAATCGAAATGTCTAAAAGCTGATCATGTTGCTATTTGGTTTTATTGTAGAGAGATTTTGTGGTGAAATATCTTTATATTACAAGCCAGTACAGTATGCAATACTAGAGGTAGAATTAGTCTTGGTACAAAGAAGGCAATATTTTTTTCCTTTTTTTTTTTTTTTT